GATATCCGTGCATATACAACATATTCCATGCTATACAGAACTTTACAAACACCAGATATGAGTAGTTTTCATTTTTATTTTCATTCTTCACATTCCTTCTTTCCCAACGATTCATTGGCACCAAATTTCGTATCAGCACTTTGACATTCGTCATGTATCACCACCAAACTGTGAAAGTTTTCGCTTATATCGTGAATGATTTTCGGCATCCCATCTTCATGCAAATTTACCAATCATTGTTTTAACCAAAGTCAACCAAAATCTAACCGACTGTAAATTTTCGCAACATTCTTACCACCGTGCAAACTCCTTTTTCTCTTATCGCGAATACCTGTACGTTCATTTCGATTACATACGAACGCATTTTTCTCTTTAGGAAAAACAATGTTTCATTTATATAAACTTTTTTTTCCCATTGAGTTTTTCATTTTTCCGCTATAAATTCATTTTTTACAGTGGTTTGACGTTTTAGGGGAACGGGATATTTTCGTTACTGTTTATTTGTTTAGTGTGTGTATCGTAAGGTTAGTTTTACGCATTTTTGATCTGAACCAGAGACGTGCACAGGGCAGGACGGTCCTGCTGTCCTGCTGTCCTGTCCTGACGCCCGCCAGGACGGGATTCACGATCAGGACAAACCAGGACAGGATGAGATTTCAAATTTGGGCCTGTCCTGACGCCCGCCAGGACAGGGATAGCTATCAGGACAGGAAAGGACAGGATAGAAAAAGCTGTCCTGTGCACGTCTCTGATCTGAATGTCATTTTCCCGCTCGAAACGAGCATTTGCCACCGATCAAATATTTGTCTAATCCTCCATTCACAATAGCATTTTTCTTCTATGGGAAAAATGGTTTTTCATTTATCTAAACTATTTTTCCCATTGACTTTTTATTTTTCTGCCAGGATATATAAACATATTCTTACTAACGATCATTCACAATAGCATTTTTCTTCTATGGAAAAAATGGTTTTTCATTTATCTAAACTATTTTTCCCATTGATTTTTTCATTTTTCTGCTATAAATTCATTTTTACAGTGGTTTGACGTTATTGGGGGAACGGGATCTTTTCGTTACTGTTTATTTGTTTAGTGTGTTTAGCATAAGTTTAGTTTTTAAGCATTTTTAATCTGAAGGTCATTTTTCCGCTCGAAACGAGCATTTGCCACCGATCAAATATTTGTCTAATCCTCGAAAGCCTGCGCTAAATCAACCTTGAATCGCCAAAGGTTCAAAGCCTCTGGGAACGCTTTTCGATTACTTAAAATTGTAAGCTATTGTAAGCTAGCTTTTTGCTTAAATTTTCAAATGGGCTGCACCAAGACCTACTCTTACATAGGAGAAAACAGTTATCTACAATGAGAAAATCGGGATGATGCACAGGCATTTAGCTGTTTTAAGGTTTCGCTACAATGAAAACTTGTTATTGCCGTCAGTTACCAGGATATGATAGAACAGTAATATGCCATTCTTTTGTGGGCTGCGTCGTGGGAAAATTTGTGTTGAAAAAGGCAATGACTGTCATTGAACTTTTCGTTTTGCTTAGAATCTTCAACTTCCTTCATCAGCAATCATGCATTCAATATTCTCTCTCCTCATCATGGCATCCATTATTGCTGTTTTGAAGTCGCAGACATGGACTGGCACTTACAGCACTTCTGGGAACACATGCAACACGGCGATGTGTTGCTGTTTTAGCGGGAGTCTGGTGATTTCACAATATTCAACGTGCTACTTGCAGGTCACTAGCGGTCTGAGTGGTCAGTGTACAGATTACACCACACCATTTACTGTGAGCACTCCGACTGGTTACACAGCATCATTCAATGGGTTCAGCGTCACACTCAGCTCTAACAGTCAAACCATCACCGTTGTCAATTCAGCGAATACAGCATGTAATGATATGGCCACCAAGAGCGACGGCATCAAGCAGCACGCGAACACTATGATGTTATGTACCCTCGTGAGTCTCGCAATGAGCGCCTGGATGATGTGAACTTCCCTACTCCCTGAACTATTCCACGAATAGTAGTTTACGCGTGTGTTTTTGTCTTCTCCTATTTACTTCTGAATAAAATGTTTAACTCATCGATCCACATGTTTCAACGAGAGCTTAAATCTTCTCATAAGACTCAAGTTTATGCCGCTTATCTTCGATTTTGTATAGAGCACTATGGTTTAATTTGACTGAGTCATCCCTGATTTGGTGACTGCATTCGCAATCCGCCCATAGCTTTTCGAGAATAACCTGATAGCTAGCCTATTTGACACTGTGCATGGGGAGTGAATGAAGAATAGCCTGGGTGTGCGGGTGTGTGGGTGTGGGTGTGCTGAGATGATCAACACTAACCCACGCACTACAGTGATGCCCGACACCAACACCCACCGGCACTCACCCACACCCACACCCTTCTACACTGGGATTCTTTTCAGTTTGTGTACATGGGTAATGGAGAATGCTTGACCATTGCTACTTTTTCAATCGAATAACATTGAGTCAGCGCCAAACGTATCTTCACCCACTCGATACTTGTTATTATGCAAACGTTTAAAAAGCCTCTTTTTGTCAAAACAACGATTTTCCTAGACAAAAGACAGAAATGATGAAAACACTTGACAAGAAAATGTCTGTCAAATAACCAGTCAGGTTGATTGTGAACTATCAGATGGCTGCGGGTGTGAGTGTGCATATGTTTTTCACTCACACTTAACAACGTTTGCAAACCCTCACGCTCACTCACGCTCACTGACGGCCACATTCTCACACCACTCATCTACATCTAAAACCTACACTCGATATGGGAGTCTTTGCCTATATTTGTTGATCGTATGAATAAAATAATACATTCCCGAAATACTTCTATGAAAACGCCGAATTTTTTCATTATTTCTAACATAAAATCCACTGAAATGAGTGTGGGTGTGAATTGTCTGCGCAGTTTCACCCATACTCACCCAAACACACTCACATGTCAAAGATGAAGAAATCTATTTCAAAACTAACATGAGAACACAGAAAGAAAAATTTAATAGATAATAATAGCAGCTTTATAATTAAGATGAGGGATAAAAATGATGATCAGTATTTTTGAAAACTGAGTTAATGTACCCCACATACGTTGGCTAGAAGTTTGTTTTAATTTTTTAAGGTAAAGCTGATAATTGAGCATCGAATTCAAAAGTAATCCAAATGTCAAATGATTGAATCGATGAACCATTGTTGCCAGATTGCCATTTGTGCCAAGGATATACAACAGTACCATTTTCTCGGAAAACTGTTTTTTTTTGTGCATCGATGTCCCATATAGGACCATGTTCATAAAAAGATGGTACTGGTAAATTTTCGAATTTTGAATCCGGAGTAGTGAGTGGATCATACTCTTCTTTCGAGCTTCTGAGATATTGTATGCCACCTTGTCCAGTTCCATTGACGATACAAGCATGAACTTCGCAGAATATAGTATCAGAAAGATTGCGTACTCCACAATTTACACCTTGTCCCGCAGCCCACATTTGCATGTGGCAAAGATGTTCATCATTGTCAGCAAAATCAATTATAAAACCTGTTAGATTGTAAAATTCAAGACCCTTGAATTTATCCTTTCCCCATTCATATTTATCACATTTGACAAATTGAAAACCAAGTTTACGAGTTTCATCAGAACAGTACTCTGGTAATGTATTCTCAATCGTAACTTTTCCAATGGAATCAAATTGAGGAACATCTTTCATGGATTCATCCATTTTTAATACAAGCAAAATGGCACCTTCTTTACCAGTTGATAGTCTATTTTCATTACTTTGTATCTCAAGCGAAGCAACACTTTTTGGTGCACAGAGAAACATGCGCGAATGATGTACCTCTTCAGATGATTTTGTAGCAGAACTCGTCCACTTTATAACTCCAGAAAGAACCTTGATATAGGTGTTTTTACTGACTTGACGTGAACTACAAGGTGGTATGACTTCTAAAGATAAAGCTATACCTCCTACAGCAGTAAATGGCAGTGTTTCGTATTTTAATGCTTTGTTTGGCCTCGGAACTTTGAACAAAAGTTTATTGCTTTGCTTCGTCACTTGTATCTCTTTTTGACCTTGTACCCTCTTGTTGGCAAATCGATTGTAATAGATGTTAATAGATGGATTTTCAGCTTCGTAATACCCAGGAACGTAATAACTAATGGTTGCAAAGTCTAGCAAGCCATCATTATCAAAATCAGCAACAGCAATTCTAGCAGCAGAATCACTACTAACTTTCCATTTGGCAAATAAACCACAAGAAAGATCTATAGGTTTATAATAGTAGACACCTTGATTTGGAGATGGTCCTCGAAGTGCCACTAAGAATTCATCGTCTCCATCTTTGTCAAAGTCAGCGCAAACGATATGATGGGCTGGACCTTCACCATGTTCGTTAGGACATCCATAAACATCTAGCACATATCTTTTCCATTGAATTTGTTTCAAATAATTGTCAGTACTTTTAATGTAGACAGCAACTACATTTCCATGAAAAGGTTCGACAGTAGGAATATACGCAAAAGAATCATTTCCAACTTTTCCTGCATCTACACATCCACTACCGTAATAAGTTGTTTGGCGCTTTTCTTCTTGTTCTCCTTCTCCAATATGTTCAATAGTCCATTTGTGAAATTTTTCATCAAAGTAAAGCCAATTAATGCCTTCGCGTGATGCAATAAGAAGATTATCTAATGCGCCGGTATTAATTTTTTTTGCATCGTGAATCAGATGAAAAAATTCTTTATCAATTATTTCACAAGGCCACTCTTTAGTATTTAATACATCGTTAGGTTGTTGAAATAATAGCACAGGTACTGGTGCAAGTAAATTATATGGCTCGTTTACAATAGGCAAACCTATAATCTCCAAACGCTTGTTTTGTGTGAAATGGCCGACTTTAAGTCTGTGCATTGCTGTAGATCTTCCAATATAATGGGATATCCATTGTTCTTGTTCGAGTTTCTGTCCTGGATTTTGCAACCATATGATCTTTCCCCCGGTGGGATCGCAATCTACCATTGTGTTACCATATTGATAACAGATAATAATGTCATTAATTCCATTGCCTGTAATATCAGCTTGATCCATGGCTACAGGGCCTGGTAGATCTTGAATACGAATTGCCTTTCCTGGTTCTGTAGTTGTGCATGGATTTGGATAAAAATTGACTTCTCCACAACTAAGTCCATATCCTATCAATCCAATAGGATTTTGATTGTCAACTTTAAAAGCTTCAATCCAGTATCCATCTTTACGCTTTTCTTCGATCAGTTTCTTTTCAAAAAAAGGACTGTAACTCCCATTGTCATTAGATAATTGATAATCACTAGTTGCCATGATTAATCCTCACTACAGCAAAGTAAATATTCGCTATTTCTATTTTGTGTAATTGTCATCTTAGAAACCAACAGGTGTTTTACTTTCTATCATCCCAAACTTATATTCAAGGGAACATGCTTCATCAAATAGTTTTACACAACGTCTACTTCAGAAAGGGTTTTTTAGAGAACTAAATAAAAAGATTGGATCTTCTCATAAAGTTTATTACAGCATGACATCTTTGAACATATTTAGTTTCTCGCTCTTTATTCATTTCATTCAGAGTTTTCATAACGCAACTTAGCAGAGCTCAATATTCTCCGAGAACAACATGATAAATGATATTTACAGATTTACAAAACTACTCAAAATATTACATCTAAATTAATCTCTCAAAATCTTTGACACTATCCTGATAATCATTCTTTGACGATATCTATCCATTGTTATAAAATATGGTCAACCTTTCTAGAATAAAACGTCATGGATTTATGCAGTATTTCGACACATCGACACTTTTGGGACAATTCTTCCATCGTATACAACTTTTTCCTGTAAAACGCATCGTTTTATCGGTAAAACGACTGCAAATCAACTAAAACTCGCCTCTAAAGACGCGCTTAAACGCTGCCTTTTTCGAATAAAACATTAACAATTAGCGTCCGAATGTGTCCACTACAACGCGTTTTATTCCTATAAAACATTACTTCTTTCTATGTTAACGTGTTTAAACGGTGTAGTTTCCTTTCATTATCCTCTCAGTGTCAATTGTTTTACATATTTTATCCTAAATATGTATTTCATTCATTCGCATCACTCTACTCGAGGGTGCAGGTATGGATGTGCGTGATGCTTTATCCAAAACCCACACCCTTCTAATATGACTTTTCAACGTTTTTTGAAGCAGGGTGTTCTATTATGGGGGGCGGGGGGGGGNCCCCCCCCCCCCCCCCCCCCCCCCCCCCCCCCCCCCCCCCCCCCCCCCCCCCCCCCCCCCCCCCCCCCCCCCCCCTACATCATCACTGTAGCGACTCACAGGCTAATGTGACAAATGGAGGATTCGTTTCAAGTGCGATAGACTGAAAAAACTGACGAATGACTCATACCAGTCTGGTCTGAACGTTTACATCAGTGTCGACAAGGAGAAAACTACTGGCTACAGCTCTAATCTGTGCATCTGTATTTAGGCAGATGCCCATACCTAGCTATTGTTCTGGTTAGAGTTTCTAGCGGCACACGCAAATCTAAGACTTGGCAGTACTGAAGTCACAAACGCACACTAACCTGCCATAAGATGTAAGGCCAATATGAAGCTATTACTCCAAAATCTATAATATCAAAAATGTTACTTCTTACCGTATCATTATTCTGGCTATCTCATATAGAAAAAATCTTTAACAATTCATAAATATTATAATGTTACTTTCAGTACTAATATTTATTTCACGAGAATATTAATCGAACAAAAGTAGATGCTAGACTGGTCTGTAAATAAAAGCAGTAAATTTATATGATGTCTAAACAAGAACTACTATGACGCATAGAAAATCAACAAAATATTATATTATTTAACGTAAGCGATATAAGACACATGCGTCGATGTAATGGGTGGCGCATAATAAATGGGCCTCGGTACTTTGACTACAAGTCTTTTATTTTTTCCCATTAGAGCTGATTTGTGTCTCTAAACGATTTGCCGTGAAATTTTCTACAAAGCCTTGATCAAACTTATTTCTGTAGAAAGTTAAGAAAAAAAATTAAACAAAGAATATCGAACATATAGGCACTGCTCAACTTTTACAACTATTTTAATACACAAATTTCCAATTATTTTAAACCATTCTAAAAATAACATAACAAAAGTGTCTCCTTTTTCGCTATACAGCTTACAGTTTGTTCAAATGAAAGTGAGCACTGAAATACCTAATATTCCAAAATGTATTTCAAACTGATCCGGATCTAATATTTTTTGTCGCCTGGATCTACAGAGAGAACTTAAAGTAAGATCAGGACAAAGTGTCGTCGCTGAACATGGAAATAGGATTGATTTCTTATCAAAACGAAAAAAAGCAGAGCTCAAAAGTTGCTATTGTAGCTTCGTTATACGACGTTGTTCAGAAGCTTCGAACACAACGAATTCATATAGCTGAATTTTGGGAAGTCTGACAGAGAAGAAAATCGATACAAGTCTCAACGGTTGATTTAGCATTTGCTTACTACTAACAGTGGTTGATATGGATTTTCAAGGCCTACAAAATACATGTATTCTTATCTTCTTATCTCATTTAGCTTAATGCAAGTAGTTGGGGTAAGACGATTTTCCAGTTTGAAAGTTGGGCACTTTCTATCTGTTTGATGTTCTTTATTTAATGTTATTCGTTAACTTTCTACAGAAATAAGTTTGATCAAGGTTTTGTAGAAAATTACACGGCACATCTTTTGAGAAACAGTAAACTCGAATGATCAAAAAGGAACCAATGGTTTCCATCAGAGCAATAAAAATAAATAAATACTAGTTGCAATGTGTTGACAATGAATAAAATTGGGGTTAGAGTTTATGTCTTGAAATTTAGGAAGATGATAAAAGATAACGCACTTTTCATCCTTGGCCACATAATATATTTAATATATATCTTAATCACACAGAGAAGAAAAAAGAAGGCATTGCATGATGAATGCAGGAACTAAAAGCTACTGCATACAAGACAGCTTTAATGGAAAGCAAGAAACAGAAAACTATTACAAGGGTAGATAAAGTAATCTCTCCACTGTCTCGATAAAGAATAGAAAGAAAAAAGTAATCTTTTTTTCATGTTTAGTGAGATACGGTATATAGTATGCATTCTTGAAACTGGTAGAGATTCGAATAGGTACCTATGTGATAGGATTCAACTCAAAGAAACAAGTCCGTTCGAAATTAAAGTCTTGAAATAGTAGCTCGAATGGAATCCTATTGATCGAATTTACCATTCTTTGAGCGAAATCATATGAAAATACTAACGTTAGCGAGTCTTTCTACGAAAAGTTTCAAGTCAAAATTGGAACCTCAATTTTTTAATGTACCTGAGGGGGACCCCAGGCACTCAAAAAACCTCATACCTTAGAAATGGCCTAGTTTAGTCACAATAAGCTATCCGCCCAAAATATTTTTAGCGTATTCATAACTCGTCAGAAGCTACATAATGTAAGTAGCTTCAGCGCAAAAGCGATTGAACACTTGGTGTGACCCTCCCTTGTTAGTCAAGCCATTGAAGCTCATACTAGACCAGCTGCAGCAATCAGCGCACCACCTGGACAAAAGCCCATGGTACCAGTCAGACAAGATGATGAACATCATATCGAACAGTAGACACTACATATTAGTTGAGATTTCTATTCGATTGCATAAAATTCAAGAGATTCCTTATGAGACATTCGAGGAAGTCGATTAAAGGGCCAGAATCAATATAGCATTTTTTTATACATGATTTAATTTCTGAAATAAAACTGGGGTTAAGAAAAATTCTTAGGCTCTTGTGATGTCATTTGACGGAGTTACGCGTATTCGTGGTGGGCGATGAAAAGATCCACACCCACACCCCTCAAGAATGATAAAATATAAAAATCAAATAAATTTAGTCTGCATGCGAAAAAAATGAAAAATTTAAGTGCTCATTTTAATCAATTGAAATTGTGACAGGTTTATCTCATATTAAGTTGAGTTTTACCTTCGATTAAAATCGATTTTATATTTATCAAATTTTTACTGAATTGTAGGCTGAGAATTCATTATAAACCATTTTTTCTCATGGATTAAAATGCAGAATATTAAATTTTCTCACCATTAAATTTTTTTAAATTTGTCGTTTTATTTCCATTTATTTTAATATGAACAAAACGTTTCCTAGAAAATTATTTCATACCTTTTTCGGCCATACATACAGTCATTGAAAACAAGCGAGACAAAGATAGTAGCATATGTTCGTTCCTAAAGCCTATCAAAAGTTACCTAATCGAAGCAATGTTGATTTACTTGTATAAAATCAATCAAGAGAATAATTATTAGAGTCATTAATGAGTTCCACGAGAATTTTGGACTATATGTACCGACAATAAGGGTGTGGTACTCACATACATATCGGCACCCACACTCCATCTAAGAAGTAATAAAAGACTGCAGAAAATCAACCGTACTGATGCATTTTTCTTTTCCGAATTTTCTTTTGAATGGACAGGTGAACAAAATAATTTTGTTCAAGATAATGAAACAGGAAAATCTACATGGGCTCATATTAGTCAACTACAACCGGTTATGGAACGACTCGCCTAATTACAAAGTATTGAAACTGATACAATCATATTTTATCACGATTATCAACAGTGATCGAAGATGACGTGGCAACTCAAATTATCAATTCTAACAGATCACAAGTACCTTATAAAAAAAGTTTTCAGTTGATCTTATTTATACTGATGGCTGTTCGATGCACGGGACTCGCATCTTTTTTGTGAGGGGAAAGTGTTATGATCTTCACCTTTCGTGAGATCATATCATCACTTCTATTCTTCTCCTATGCAATTTTTTCTTCATGTCTCTTGTCACAGGTCAAAGGAACATATATTGTTCTGTGTACTAACTATTCCTGGGTCTGAGTTTTTGATACAATATAAGTGGTGGAGTGCTTTCTTCAATAAAGGGGGTACAAGAGTCAACCGATAAGAAAATAAGTCTTACAATCTATACACGGACCCGACAGACATGAGTTTTTTGGACGTGCACCTTTCCACATGACTTTCGAGCAACCGTCATTCACTTTCTTGGAATATATTAGACCATAGGCTAAAATTACAATAAAATGGTGGTCAATGAAATTTAATACAACTGGAATATATAATAAGTCCCGATAGTCTTTCGCTAATTACTGCTTCTTAACTTTTTTTATCATCACCATGAAAAATTTATTCTAACTATCATAAAATGAACTGTCTTTCTATTGGAAAGATGTATCCGCCGCCATCATTCGTCTTTGTTCACTTGTGCACAGCCGACAATGAACGGTGAATTTGATTTAGCAAACAAAAAGAGCCATCGGCAGTGTGGCGTTTACATCTCTACTTTTGAATAAACAAATAAAATATTGCTCTCTCCGCCTAGTCCATTTGATATGTAGCAAGAAGAAAAAGACAACTTGTATATAAGTGTATCGTCCATTGAAAACGACATTCTCAATCAGTATCATCATTATCTACTTATTGTAAACATGCCACCAACGAAACGGCAACACAACGATCAAATTCCGATTTCAAATAATAATAAAAAACGAAAACTAGAAGATCAAAGTAATATTTCATGCTAATATGCATTATATCTAATTTTCTATTTTTATTCTTTCAGTAGCAGAGATCAATTCAACAAAGTCAGATATGTCTCTTTCATCATATAAATAATAATCCTTTATTTTCATTTAGATATCTTCTTGAAGACTTAGCAAATGAAATTCTTTATGAACTATTTGAATATCTTGATTCATATGATATTTATCAAGGATTTTACAATCTTAATAGACGATTTCAAAATTTAGCTATTAATTCAAATGTTTTAACTAAAATCAACGTTTCAACAATGTCAAAAGTAAATTTTAAAGATTATTATCAAAATATTCTGATACCAAATCGAAATCAAATTAAAGTACTTCGTTTATCAAATCCGTTTACTGCTGATGTTATTTTTTCACCACCACGCACTATTTTAAATTTTGTCCATCTTGAAAAATTAATTTTTGACAAAGTACAAATTAAGTATTTTACTAAAGTTTTTCGTCATTTAAAAGAATTGCCAAAATTGCATTCATTAACGATTTCTCTTGCTGCTGGCTGCAATCAACAATCATTAGATCGTATTTTTTCAAACATTTTTCATTTGCCAAAATTAAAATATTGTAAAATTGAATATGAAATTAAACGTCTCGAGGATGAACCCGTGCAACTTTATTTTACTCATCGTGATTCCAGTCTTATTGAATGTTTGATAATAAATGGTCGTTTTCCATTTAATCAATTTCAGAATTTATGATGGCGTCTTCCTAAACTTCAATATTTATCAATAAATTGTCTTGTTCAATCTTATGATAATATGGAACAAGAAAAATTAACTCATACTGAATTAAAATATTTAAAATATGTATCTCTAGAATTCGATTTCATAAATTTTCATAAATTTGAAGAAGTTATGAAAAAGTGTTTTTATCATGTTCAAATGTTACGTCTTACAACAGGTTATAATGAAAAATGCTTAAATGGTAAGCGATGGCAACAATTAATAATGTCCTACATGCCATATTTACGTATATTTGATATAAATCATCAAGATTATATTGAGAAGAAAAATTTCACATATCATCATATAATTAATCAGTTTAATTCTTCGTTTTGGACGGAAAAAAAATGGTTTTTTACACATCAACATGATCAGAAGAAACAATCAACTAGCGGAATTCTTTATTCAACCGCTCCATATCGGTAAAGACAAATTGTTGTTCATAAAGAAAAGTAGCACTCGTGAATATTTTAATAGCAACTGAAGTTTGTTGTCATTCGACATATAAAATGCAAGGCTATCGAAGTTCATTGAAAAATGATTGATCAGTATAGACAACGGTGCACTGATGCTATCTATATTTATCTTAATTTCAAGGTTGACTTCTGTATTATACACAATTAACCTACATCGAGAATCGATACACTTTACCATAGATTGGAGACGTCTAGTTATGTTTATAAGTGATTCTAGGCGTAAGCGCTGTTTTTAAGAGGGATACTAGAAAAATGCAAAACATGGCTCAACTTGTGACGAAAAGACCTTTGACAAAACCAATTTTTTAATAACATAAAATGGTCATTCTCACTATTGCGTTATAGACAGACAGACACTGATGAACGTTCGTTTCCAGACCCTAGCCTTTTAGTCTAAGGAAAATAGGTTGATCGTCGAGTTTCAGGCACATTCTGATAAAAATGTCACATTACTTCAGGCTTGAAAGCAAAAAATATCACTCAATTGGTATAGAATGGTTCATTACTCCAGTTTAGCTACTTTTCTATGTGATCATAGATCAATAGAATCAGAAAGGAGTATCCGTGTAGCCCACATGTTTTAATGCAAGAGTTTCTCTATCCAATAGTCTTATTAAAATTGCATGTGGAAGTAAATAAAAAAAGCTGTCAGAATATCGCTTACCATAAATATCACGTGGTTGGTAAATTACTGGTCAATGGGTTTTTATGGTTGCATTTTCTCATTTGAACGCGGAAACTCGCATATCGTTAGCTGATTCTATTCTAAAATTATTCGAGAAAGACGGCTACGCTGACTGGTTTTTATATTGAACATAGTTTTTTATGGTATTTGTTTTTTGTTTAGACGAAAAGATTATTCGTATTATTGGGAACCAGTCAATACAAAATGCTCAAATATTCAAAAAGAAAATTTCAATTCGGTTAAACATCTTCGTATTGCTAGTGAAGAAATCGTTAACGATTGTCTGAACTATTTCCCAAATGTTAATGAATTATCTATTGAAAATAAATTTACAACATCAGGTGATTCGATTATTGCAACTCTTCGTCGTATGATTTCTTTAAGGCAACTGACTAAGCTAGTTATTGAGTCTCATTTATTTCCCATGAAAGACATTATCAATCTATTACTTTTGACACCTAATGTACATACATTAACCTTGAATTTATATATTTTGGATTATTTTAATATAAATTCAAATAGACAAAAAAAAATTTGTCAATATGTATCAAAGAAAAATAAAATACAAAATTTAATTCTTAATCAGAAATGTTCATTAACTGAAATACAATTTATTGTATATTTATTACCAAGATTAAAATGTCTCAAGGCTCAAATGGAAAGGAAAGAAATAGGACAAATAATTCGATTTTTATTATCGAAAACTCATAATAGAACACGAAATTTGTTCTATTTATGTATTTTGGAGGTGCCAAAAGTATGCCTAACAGAAACAAAAGTTTTAATTGAATCAAAAAACTTACTCAATGATTATTCTATTAAATATATTGATCGTGATTTACATTTATGGTGGTAAAAATTTTGTTCGTTCTTGTTGTATATAATCGTAATTATTGTTAAATAAATAAATCGAAGATCGAAACTTCAATAACCAGTATGATTTTATTTTAACAGGGAGATTAATACATAAAACCTTAAGAAACGGAAAAAATAAGGTTTCTCAAAGTGTGGGCATTATAAATAACATTTTCAGATGATTGAGATGCAGATGTTTGCTGAATATTTAATGTTCCTGATATTTTTCGATCAATCATCATTAAACCTTCTGTTAATATTTTTTTAATTATTGTATGATTGATAATTGCTTGTGGAATTAATGAACGCCAACCAATATACCATCGTTGGATTTCTTGAGAATTTGTATTTGTACTTAACCAAATATTAAGTACCTAAAAAAGCGTTTTTTTGTTAAATAGGTATTCACCTAACGAATGAAAATACTCAAGTGATCTACTTCGTTTGCGTCCATATTTTGCTCATACTAATATTTGCTTGATACAGAGAATATTCAGTAGAATCTTTCTCTAAGAGCCAGAATACTCGAAAAAATCTATATTTGGAACTTTTGATCTTCAACTTTATACATGGAAATGTTTCTATTAGAATATTGAATATATATGGAAAAAAATCACCTCTAACGAACTTCATGGGGTATTTGAATTTGCGGCAAATTCAAAATGCCTATACCGCTATAGTGCCATAGCGGTAGCTAGATGTCAGGTATCCGTTACAGAGACAGAGAGACAGGGGAGAAGGTACCCCCCTCCCCCACACCCACACTAGGTACCCCATCATATGCTCTAGCGAGCGAATATACCCAAATATTAGACATTATTCAACTTCATATTATGATGACGAGTACATCTTGATGAGACTAAGACAAACTTAAAAAGGATTCAGACCTATGACCTACTTACTGATAATGATTCATGGCCGTTTAAATGAAATTTTTTTCTGAAACTGAAATATTATTCGAAAATCCAAAACAAATAGTTTCAACCTGGAATTTAGTCTATAGGTATGTTTGATGATCATTAGATAGTTCTCTAAGTTTCAATGAAAATGAGCATGTCTCTTTCTCATGATATTCAATATGTAAAAAAACAAAAAGCAATGATTTATGACGGGAGGACACAATAATCGAGTCTACTTTTAAATCGAATATCTCGAGAAAGACATGTTCATTTTCGTTGAAACGATCATGACCCTCTAACTGAGTAGAAATTTTTACTCATAGAATCGAATATTTGTTTTAGTTTTTTTAACAATACTTTCCTTTCATTAAAAATTTCATTTAAACAGCCACAACTCTTTATCAGTAGATCGTCGGTTCGAATCCTTTTAAAACTTGTCTTAATCTTATCGCGATCTAGTCGTAGCAATAATATGAAGTTGAATGGTATTTGATAGTTAAGTATATTCCCTTGTTAATAATGGAATATGAAAAACTAATCAAATTTTATGCCTGATATAGTCTGATCGGGACCTGCGTATGAACAATATTACAAGTCAATATTCTAAAATTTGATTTATTTATTTTTAAGAACTATACTTGGACACGAAGAATCTACTACAACGTTACTATCTCGACCAAATCTAAGCATTAGTAGAAAACCTTTTGAGATTATACTACTCTAAAAATCTTCTACATATTAGCAAAATATGGGAGCAAATGAAGTGAATCATTTTGAGAACGTTTCTTAGTAAGAAATAAACATACTTGTAGCCATTTTGGAAAAAAATATTTTTCTAATATTACAATCATACTTGGTAACGGGACCATATCATACCAAGCAATAAGCCAATCCCATGAATCTAAACAAAAATTTATTAATTCATTACCTAAAATTTGTTGTCGCGTATCAATAATAAACTGTTGCATTGTTGAAACTAATTTTGGTAGAATATGTTCATTCATAAATCCATTCCATGTTTCTTATGGATGAAGCCAAGAATGAATAGGTATCGAATCAAATTCACGATGAAGCATTGGAAAAATAAGTTGATCAAGAATATTATTAATTATCCATTGTGGTAAATATGGTATCCATCGTTCGATGAAATGATTGAATTGAATTATCTATTGTTGCATCAATAGTTTCATCTTCAAGTATTTGTTTCCATTTCCAAAATAAATCGATTAATTCTTAATCATCATCGTAAATATTCCAATTTGAAGTAAAATGTTCTTTTAAATAACCATGTAAAACAGGACCTTCTAAATCTTATAAACGATATTCTTTATATTCTTTGTTATAATTTCGTTAAGTTCATCAAATATTTTCAACTTGATTAAAATATTGTTCACATCTAAAATAAAACAAAATTCTTTAATGAATAATTTATTTTTATTTCACTTACTGATTAATTATATTTATTCTATTCATACTATTTTCTTCATCTGAGATCATTTTTTTGTAAATAACTTGAGTCGTGTTCTAATGCAACTTTTGTATCTTCATCAAATTTTCGTCTATAATAACAACTTAATTAGAATTGTACTTTTGGAAAAAAATGAGAACTTTTCAGAGGATTAACTCTCTAAAGATCTTAGAAAATAATTGACAAACACTATTTTGTTTATTATCAAATCATAATCTACACATAAGTTGATGTAGAAAAGTTGAACAACGACATAATTTGGGTTTTTGTTCTTTCTATAATATTAAGAAAACAGCTCAAATCCAAATACTGACGTTGCCTATCTAATGCATTTAATATCGAGATTTTACAGATAAACTATGATGACAAGGAAACAATCAGATCTGATCGTTTTCAGGTCTATGGATGTAACTGAAGAGAGAAATGCCACATACTCACACCAGAGAATATTTTCTCTTGTCACAATAATACAAGAATGCGAAAATATAGATGATTTTCAGCAAGGTATTCACGAAAACATTCAGGCAAAGAAAGACAAAAGCATACTATTAGTGTTTTCATAAATTATTCCGATAAAAATTTTCAACTATGTTCTCTGCTTCATTTTAATTTTTTAAATCACTGAGTAACGTTTCTCAATGAACTTCAGCAGTTACCAAGATTTTCAAAAAACTAGATCTTTCACAATAATAAATATTTCCCTTCGATGTGAACGAATCATTGATTCTTCACATGATTCAATAACTAAATCAAGATTATGTGTTAATTCATTTAATGAAAATACTTTTTTTTGTTGTTATTGAATCATAATTTTGAAGAATACGTTGTTCACGTCCAGCCAAATCAATAATTTTTCTTGCATTTGTTTACTTGAGTTTTTATTATGAAATTTTGTTGTTTGATCTTTTAAAATATCATTTAAAGTTTTATAAACATGTTCTCGTTTCGGTGTTTTCTAAATAAAAAACGAAACAAAACAGAAAGTCTTGTTTAATAGAATAAGAAGAGATATTACTTCTCGTTGTTGTTTTCTCCACTGTAGAACCATCAGGGTTTTTCGAAGTTTCTGTTAATTCATTAATTTCAAGTTCTACGAAGAAAAACAACAATAAATTATATATAATTATATTAATTACCTTCAATAGATATAACACGATTTGGATCTTCATTTCCATATCGAACAATTGCACCTTTACCTTAACGTTGAATAACTTGAATAGGTTCAACACAGCCCAATTATTCTAATTTAAATTGACGTGTTACAGAACATAGATTATGATTTCAAACAAAAAATGACTTCTACTGATCGAGTCTCGAGGAGAACAATAACAATACCTTTGGTGTATTTTTCAAATGCACCGAGATTGTCATTTCCATAAAGCGTACTTTCATTTTTGTTACTCTTTTAAATTGTGTTTTTTCTCTGTACTCACGTCGATCAACTCTATATGAACGAACGGACAAAATTGATTCATCCATTCATGAGCAAACTTGACTAGAATTCAATATTTATAATGTAACAGTTCAACATTGTCATCGTGGGCGGCGAAAAAAAACATGTATAATGATTGAACTTTATCGACACGCAGCTATATTTTGTTTTTGTTAGGCTATTATAAAAATTCTACATTACAAATAGCATGAATAATTCAATTGTTAGAATTGTTGATCTACCTGATGAAATTTTGGTTACTATTTTAAAAAAACTGCATCATTTTGATGTATTATATTCACTTGTGGGTGTTAATAAAAAACTCGATAACGTAGCATGTGATGTTACTTTCACTCGATCTATTGATCTAACGACGATATCATTAGATAAAGCGGACGATTCAAGAATTAATGCTATACTTGATCGATTTTGTATAGAGATATTACCTCGAATTCAAAAGAGAATGGAATGTCTTACTATTCAAGCATGTTTCTTACAACGTGTTTATCATGCTAGCGATTATCTTAACTTACGCAGCATTACTATCGTCAATCTCGAACTCAAAATGGCTCCTGATATTTTCTTTAGTATGTCACTTGATCACTCAATGTTTAATGAATAGGACAATTTCTTATGTTTGTTGTGTATTTTTAGAAAAGTCTTCATTTATTCACGGCTTCAAAGACCAAATTAAACATCTAAGTGTAAAAATTAGTGACGAAATTCGAAATGAATTAAGGTTGAAATTACTAACTGATATTTATAATTGTATTTTCGCCTTGGTATCAAGCCTAAAATATTTGGATTTGGGTGTCAATGACAATTATTTCTTTCGACGATCATTACTTAGCGGTTTATCTTCGACTACATTTTCGTCATCGAGTATTGTTCATTTAAATATTAAAATGAACAATTTTGACGATTGTCGTTATCTACTTGATGGTCGTCTTACTCAATTACATACATTTATTGCCAATCTTGATTACATATATGATCCAGTATTGATGAGAGTTAATCCATCAAAAATCAGAAAGATTTCATCGAACATCAAAATTAATACGGTAAAAAGCTATGTAATTAGGTAGATTGAAATTCCTATAGAAGGTTGCTCTTTCATAGTCTAGTCATTGATTTCCTCGAGCAAATACGAAAATTAACTGTTACCAATTTTTTCACATAAAATGCGATGCAAAAGTGTTGGCAAAAAATTCAAACTCTATTAGTCCATCTTGATGACTTCCGAACTAAGGAAATTCTTTTTTTTTTTGTTAGAGAAAGCAATGTCTCAACTACAAATTTTGTACGAGACATATTTTTCCAGAACGAACCTGAAACAGGAAAAGCCAAAAAACGAACACCTATAAAACGTTCTTGCAACTACATTATTGGCAACATCATTGTCTATTTTCTGATGGTGTATTGGAATTTAAATTTACTCTTGATATTTGTATCAAATAAAGCTTTTGCTGAAGAAGTCTCAGTAATTTGATCGGTTTACAACGATAAAATATATCTTTTCAATTGTTTTCCTTCGGCTTAAATTTTACGATGAAACATATTTCGACCAAGTAACACAAAAATAATTCAGTTCATGGGCGATTTTTGGAGATGGCGACTGATATTATGGTACACTGGCGAATCTTGCGAAAGGATCAATTTTTAGAAAAGTTTCATGTTGCAAACTATTTTGAAACATGAGAAAAAAATAGATCCATAAAATTTTACCAAAGTTGATATCAATTGAGCTTTTGATGGGCTACTTTTTCGAGTCTTTTTGTTTATTCAAATTTGATCGATTTACCTAGTGAAATACAGATTTTTCAAGTTGCAAAAATATTGCAAGAACTTTTTACAGAGGTGTTGGTTTGTGGCTTTTCATCTGTTCCAGGTTCGTTCTGGAAGAATATGTCTCATATAAAATTGATAGTTCAGACATTGCTCTTTTCAACAGAAAACGAAATTCGTTGCTTTGTAAATCATTAAGACGATCTAGCAGTCGGACATTTTTGCCAAGACTCGCATCGCATGTGATTTATATGTTTTTGATTACTTTTGAGTCATTTTTCAATATTTAGCTGTTTGGATATTAGTTGTTGCACTTTAATCCTTTAGATAATCAAAAAAATAGTAGCTGTTTTTGAAATTATTTATACAACTTAGATATATAATAATTTCTACGAATATCAATATTTTTCAGCTATTCTAATATAAAATCTGATATTTTCAGAAAGAACGGGAATATTTCTGATCCAGGAGTCTTTTACTTAATAACAGAGAAGTGACTAATAGACTAGAAGATTAATTGATGAAAAAGAAATCAGTCTCGATCTTGAATACAATTTTGATTTTATAATCTGAGATATCACATCGAGAAACATCTAATTAATTCAATCTATCATTGAGTAAATGATTAACGTGGTATTACTGACTATTTTTTTTATTTTGTCGGTTTTTATAGAGTACTCTACTTAAACTCAAGTGTTTTTCACTGTATGTATATCTTCCAACGACTGAATTTGACAATGAAGTTGTCCCGTTTCTTTGTCGAATGTCACATTTGGAAAAGCTCACATTATCTCTTGGTGTTCGCGGTCGAACTTCATTCATTGATGGAACTCACTTAGATAATTGTATACTTAGCCGATTGCCGCATCTGCATGCATTTGTCTTCGACATCATTACCGACTTTGTCAGGAGCACCGGACACTTCGAACCATCTGCTGATCATATTCGACGCACGTTCATTCAAAGAGGACATCATGCTGATTGCTATATCGACTATCATCATAGTAATATGCGCCGATGTCATGTTTATTCGGTTCCATTGAATATGGAATGTATGCGTCATATTTCGCACGGTTTTCCTGGTGGTACGTTCATCAATGTTCGCATTCTGAGTATGCTCGATGACTCTCACCCTTTCGAACATAATTTCTTTGCTCAGATTTCACGCTCATTTCCATTACTTAGCCGTCTGATACTTAGAAATACAACACCACAAACGGAGAAACGGTCACACCAGTTAGTGAAACTTGAAGAAATATCCTCAGTTATTGAGTATTCTCATCTCATCGAACTTGACTGTACCCATGCACATATCGATTATGTGGAACAGTTTCTTTCTAACGTCAATACATGTCTACCTTGCCTTTGCAAACTTCATGTTCAATATGAACACTTAGTATCTGTCACAGAAAATTTTACAAGAAATACAACGCTTATGAATTGTGTGAAAGTGAAGCATATTACATTTGATGATAACGTGGCAACGGCGCGTTCAAAAGACTTTTATCTCTATTTTCCTTTACTGTAAATAATGTTCTCATAAAATGTAATTATTAGATTTTTTTGTTATATCAATAAAGTAAATTCAGAATAGCTATTTCTTAAAAATATTGCCGTGAATAAACCGAATGCGTATTGTTTTAATCACGTTGACTGAAAAATAACAAGTCCGGATTTATTAGGTTGTTTGATGTTTTGAATTTGTTTTTCTAATTCTCTAAATCAATATTGTTTTAATTGGAAAGCTATCAGTTTTCTAAATTTTACATGAACGAAAAACGTTTTTTAAAACAAAAACGAGAATTTTTAAAATCAAACATTACGTATTAAGTTTACATAAAATCAAATTTCAAAACTAGTTTTTAAACGTGTCACAAGCAGAACAAAAAAAGTAGCTCACTCAATAAAGAACAAGAGCTTTCTTTTTTATTTCAATATTCATAAAATAGTTATTGTAAAGCTTGACTCAAAAGAAACAATCTCGGAGTTTCACTTTTTACTTATGTCTTAATCTTGATTTAGCTCATATTTAATCAAAATACTTTCTTTAATATTTTCAAAGGAGGAGTCAGTTTGACTCAAGACGTATGTTGGATATCCAATGAACAAGTAAGAGCATCCCTATGTTTTTTCTTGATAATGGTATTGAGATAAGCAAAATGTTTCATCACGTGAGGCGTGGAGATATGCTGCGAAGCGAAACACCATAGTCATACCATTTTTTCACGTAATTTGCTCTTTAAGTCTATGCTTCTCACTTTAAGGCTATCTTGTACATTCCTTGGCTCTTTCTTATTCTGGTTATGTGCTGATCATAATCAGTTGGCAAAAAGATACATTCAGAATTAGCTGTGTTTAAAACAAAAAACAAATGTATGTATACCTTTTTAAAACAAACGTACGTCTGTCACAAAAGAGAATTGATATTGTGGAAAAAAATGAAACCATTTATATGTCCAGCTTTTATTCTACGATATTTTTGTCTAGATATATATAAATGGCCGAGCAAAAACTCGAGGTGAATGCAACCAATGCTCCAAGAATTATAGAAAAAGTATTATTTTCTTTTCTTTATACTGTACAGAGATATTTAATAGCAAAATCATTTTCTCAATCATTATAGTTCGAAAAAGCTATGAAAGATTTCACGGAGCCCGAAAGCAAAAGCATGAGCATCATCTTATCCGCTAAATCTGCGGATGNATACTGTACAGATATATTTAATAGCAAAATCATTTTCTCAATCATTATAGTTCGAAAAAGCTATGAAAGATTTCACGGAGCCCGAAAGCAAAAGCATGAGCATCATCTTATCCGCTAAATCTGCGGATGATCAAGAATCGAACTATTGTTATATAAAATTAAACCAAGACGATTATGATACGTATTTTATAAGCTTGACAGCTTCTTAGAAGAGAATTCGTCAGAAAATTGACAAGGGAAAAGGGTACTTGATTGGAGAAGAAGTCTTGATTTTAAATTTAATGATCTCAATAAAAGACCTTATAGTATAAGTATTAAATCCAAAACATGAGTTCGATCTGATAAATCTTGCTGAGTATAAGATGCACTCTGAAAAACAGGATTTATAGGATTAGAAAAAAAATTTGTTTTTTTGTACTTTTAATATAGTACAGAACGACTTTATTATTTCGAGTGTTAATTTAGCAATAACTTTTACTAAAAATCGAGATCATATTTTAGATTTAATACAAACTCTGTAAGGTCTTTCTTTTGAGATAATTAAATCTAAAAATCAAGACTTTTTCTCCAAGAATGTTGACGAGTATTCTGGCAAACTCTATCTTAAAATATTAATTTTTTTCTTTGTTTGATTTCCTAGATAAAGCCAAAGGAATTTTGAAAAAATAAAAACAAATCAACAACAAAACTTAGTTAAATGCCGACTATCAAAATAATGATTTTTAACAATTTCTGCATGTTAAATAGATTCTTCTTTTAAAATTTCTTAACGTATATTTCAGAGATAATAAGCTTATAAATTCATTTTAACAAACTAATACTTAATAAATATCAATATTTCAGAATAAAAGTTTTAGCCTTTTAAAAAATGTTCATTTCATTAAATTTTAAAATAAAATTGGATTAATTAATAGATAAATGAAAGTAAATGGATATTATTGTAATAATAATCTTGTTCTAGAACGTTTTATTTTATTTTAAATTTAAATTTACTAGAAATTTCGACTCATAACCAGAAGTCATCATCAATAGAAATAGAATAGTAGTATCAGTTGATATTAATGGTGTTGAATTGAATTTAACAACTATATAAATAAAATACCAACGAATTTATGAAATAAAAAAACAAAAAGATTTTTTAAAACGAAACCTATGAAGAAGGATATGAAGTAATAGTCTCAAAGCATATTTTATTGAACAAATTAATAATATTGATAAAATACTTAAAATGAAAATAAGAATAAAAAAGATATCGTTTTTTAAATTAAACATATGAAGAAGGGGATAACCTAATAGTGTCAAAGGATATTTTGTTGAACAAATTAATGGTCTTGAGTTGTCTATAATAAAAAAGGAATAAAAAGATATTGTTTTAAATTTTTAAATTTAATATACAAATAAATAGTTTAACTAATAGCGTCAATAGACTTTTGTTTTAACAAATTGATAATGATCACATATCTAAAATGAAAGAAAAAGATTTAATAGATTGTTTTTTAAATCTAGTATACATTAGGGTGAGGGTGTGCTACTGCTCTTTCCAAACACCCACAAGGACACTCAACCACTCTACCACATCGATCTACACCCACACCCTGAATTTTTTTAACGGGATTAATATATTCAACTTACTAACTAGTCTTTTACATGATCAAATGCCGCTAAAGTGTTTATTTCAGATTACTACGCCTATTCATTTTTGAAACAATCGTTGATATCCTTATAGAGAATTATGAAAGGAAGCTCTTTAGCTATCACTATCTAGTAGATCCTGTGTTTTGCCTAGTACAGAAATTCGGTGCCATTTCTAAGGCTCCTCGAACGCTCATGTGGACTTGAAGTCTCTGTTGTTGAAATCTCGGGTGTGGGTGTAGGTCAGTTCATCACGGCAACACCCACACCGTCGGATTCACTGTTCAATTTCTTCTGTTTTTATATTGTGGGTATCGATAAGGTTGCGACTCAAGGAAAATACGGAAATCAAAATCCACACCCTTATTTCCAACTATTAATTAATGTCTATGCACCCTATTCAATTTCTTCTTAATCTTTCCTTGAATCAAGTAAACCTCGATGTCTACCCATGCACATTGTTAATATAAGAATTAATATTTTACTTGGTACTGGAAGTAAAGTTGTTCACGCCCGCATCTGGTGACCGTATTCAATCACCCGGGTAGTCGTTCAAACGAAAAGGGAAGTATCACGATTGAAATTCTCAAATATTTTTTCAAATCTTTCATCAGATATCCGGTTCGCTCAAAAATATCCTTCCGAAAAGACGAATTTGCAAGGAATTTTCGTTTTCAATCGTCGAGATTATTAGCAAGACGTCATCAGCAAATGTTAGCCACTAGTCTCTTCGCTTGAACCATAGAGATAATTAAATGTTCAATCAAAATCATTCTTTAAGAAAGCATCGCTAGATATGGGTAGAGCTTTCATAGCGATGAATTTTATTATGTCTGCTTTCAAAGTATGAAGTTTCCATCAGCTTTTCGTTTATTCGATTTCTTCGTTTCTCGAATTTTCTCATAGATTCGATTCGTGCTTCGCATAGCATTTCGTATTCCAGTGAAGCTTGAATACATTCTATTATAGTATTATAAATGTTCTTCCTATAAAACATTCTTTCACAAAATGTTTTACTATGTCGTTTTTTTTTCAACTTATTGTTTTGTCCAAGCATAGAATAACACGTTTACGAAGATCAGTCATTTTCACAACAAATTATTAATCGAAAAATTTGAAATTAATAGTACAGATAGAAGACGCCTTTATCTATGTAACCAAAAGATTATTTTGATAGATTCTGTAAATATCTTTGAACCTTCAACATTTTGTGAAAAAACTTTTCGATCAGCCGTTACTATCTAATTTAAGATAGATTACTTCATGATTGTCATATAGATTATTTTTTCTTCTAGTAGAATATAAATATTTTGATTCAAAGCTTGAATATTTATATTTGTTTCACAATATTATCCGGAATTTGCTTAGGTCAGTTATGTGTACGATACATACATTTAGAATTTAGAAGTAATCTTTCTCTATGTTTCAATGTAGAAAATTGTAAGAAAAACAGTTCTCACTTAACACCATTAGATTTTATCTCGATGTAAATATCAATATAGAAAAGCACTTTAGAAATCTCTTACCTATGAAATTGATACTTGAATACAGATACTTAATAGTAATCGCAATATCAGAATTATTGCAAAACTGGTACTATTTTTTATTTTGTGGGGGACCCTTTCTGTTTAGCCCAAAAATAGTATGCAGTTTACTAGACACATTTTTAAATACATGTGTCTCTATGAGACATAAAACGACTATGTATGCTTTATAAAATATTATATAACAGCAATTTAGGGGTCAACGAGGCTAGGAAAATAAAAACTGAATTAAGAAATATGATTGGTATTGCTACGTCGAAACACTAATCACATTTCTTAATTCGGTTTTGATTTCTTTAGTCTCGCTAATCGTTTAATATGACATCTTTTACTTTCGTATACATATATGCAGAGTTGAACACCCGCAAGAAAGTAAACATGTTGAAATGAAAAGAAAAGTGTTTCTTGATGATCAATTATATTGGACGATTCATCGATAGCACATTTTTTTTTATTGCGGCCATCCACTATTCTCCACTGACGGATACGATTATCAGAAGAAAAAAAACAAATAAATATATATATGTATTATGACGGTGACGGTCATATTCGAAAATGAATCAATCTGAAATTAATATTCTTGATCTACCCAACGAAATATTGATTATCATCTTGAAGAAATTGGACAACGTTGATGTTCTTTATTCGCTATTTGGAATTAATAATCAACGAATTGATACTTTAATAAGCAATGATGTATTTACTAATGTTCTTAATTTTGTAATAACATCAATTATTGATCATAAACTTGATCGATTCTGTAGTTATATATTACCTCAAAGGCACCACTGTATAAAAAAAAATAATTCTTGACGCAACATCTATGGAACGTATTCTTCTTGCTGGTAATAATCCAAATTTGACTTCTTTGGAACTGTTCAATTTCGGAGAAGAAACAGTTCTCCGTTATTTTACAGGTAAGTGTCTAACATACTCGTAATTACCAAAAGATCAAAATGCAAAAAATTCATTGCATACTTTTTTTTTACTTAGACGACTCGATCTTCCAACATATTTTTAAAACGCAGATAACAGATCTTATTCTTCATAATAATGATTAACGCACCACTCAAATGTCGTCGGAGATCTACGTTACCGATGTGTATGAATGTACCATGATTCTCTTCCAAAAAATAAAACATTTGCGAACGATTATCCGCTTTTTTCATTTTGTCTTCAATCGCCAACTACTTATTTCTCTCCAACTCTTACTGTATTACGTATTAATGTGTGCTGCTTTTATGATTGCCTCTGTTTACTTGATGGTCATCTGAAACAATTCACTACGTTTATTGTTCAAATTAAGTATATTGGCTTTCCTTTGACCTTTCGCAATATGGTGATGGTAAGTTAGTGCTGTTTCATTGTTGATCGAAGTTAACGAATTATATAGACAATGAAATAATAATAAATCCGATGATTATCAGAACAGCAAAATAAATTTTATTATTGTTAAACGATTAGAAATAGATAGTTGTTCTTGTTTGACATTAATAGAAATATTTCGATAATTAATCAGTAGAAAAAGCTAAACGACTAATTGCAAGATGTGTAGCTTGTTCGTTATAACAAACAACAAAACAACTGTCAAAATTGTGTTCTCAGAATTTTATCAAAAAATGTTTTTTTAGGGTCGAATGGAAATAATTTTCTTTAAATTATCAAGAAAAAACTGCAGAGTTTGTCGAGATTCTGTAGTCATTTTATCAGAGTTCTGATATCATGACTTGAAAATAACGAAATTATCACAACTTTTACGTTATATATACGAGAATATTTATAAGAAAATAGTTTTTCTTGAATTAGAATGTCTTTAATAATGACAGTTGCATTTTATAAAATTGGAGCTATTCTATTAAGTGATGATATTTGATGTAGATTGAGAAATCTATTCAACTTTAGCATTTGAAAGTCTCTTTAGAGTTTGTGAAATTCTAAACAATGACTATTTTTCTTTTGAAGTAGCCTGTAACTATTTTCTACTGTTGATTGTGCCCAAAGCTTTGAAAAATTGGCTATTTTAGACATAGTTTTATTACATATTGTGTACCATAAAATACAACAAATTTTGAAGAAAAAATTATAAATGAGTAAATTTTCTTGCGATTAGTCTCTCACAGACTTTTTATCTCAGCTCAAATCATAAACGTATATTCAAAAAATATTTTTATATTTTATAGGATGAATTATATAATTTGAAGTGTTTCTCATTAACAAGTTATGATATAACCTCTCATTATGACGTATTGGTTGTGCCACTGCTTCGTCGTATGACACATCTGGAAAAGTTAACTTTGTATCTTCGTATCAATGTTAGATTTTCATTGCATCATGGCACAAGTAATCTCTTTGATGATATGCATTCATATGTCGATCAGACACATCTTCATAATAATGTCTTTGTTCATATGCCTCAACTTCATTCATGCAAATTTTATATAAGTACAGAAGATGTCCATACTGATGATATTCAACGAACATTTACACACAGAATATATGGGCAAACAGCTTGTATTATAGATCATTATTGCCCGTTTGGAGCAATATATCATGTTTATTCACTTCCGTTTCAATTTACTCGCCTGGAAAACATTAGGAATCAGTTTCCCAATGTTATGTTGCATATAGTCTAACTCACTTGTCTGCTTATGACGCGGTTCCAATGAAACATGAATTCTTTATGCGAATTAGTCGAGCTTTTCCAATGCTTAAGTGTTTTACTTTGGTGAATGAGACAGTGCAAACGTGAAATCACAATGAACAGCAATCTGATGGAAATTCATTGTATTCAGTTATTGAATATTCTCATCTTATATCACTTAACATCATACGTGTACATGAAGATTATGTTTACGAATTTCTACTCGAAACACGGACATATCTGCCCCATCTAACTGAGTTAAAAGTGATGTATGATCAATTGAAATTTGTAACAATGAACTTTACAAGTGATGCAGCGCGTCGCAATTGTTCTAAAGTGAAACGATTGTTTTTGGAAAATTCCGAACGTTTGTCAAAGGATATTTGTCAATATTTTCCATCATTGTAAATTCAATTCTATGTTGCTAATTTCAATAAAAGTAAATTACGTGAAAATCATAACGGAATAAAAACTAATCGTTAATCAATTCTATAAAGAAATTGTGATAAATTATATTGCTGTGTGTTTCTTTTATAGATAGAGATCATTTAGGTTTCCAATTGACTTAATTTCAATTTGTTGATTAGTATCAATATTAGAATTATAAATAAAAACTTAGTCTTGTCGTATAAATTCTTTATAAAAATATCTGTCTGTATTCTCATCTATTATTAATGTTTCAGCAACTGAGAAACCTTATATCAATCGCAACAAGTTCGAAAAGTAACTATTATTAGCAGTAATAAAAAAGCATTTCCAATAACACGTGGGTGTGAACGTAGGCGTTCATGGATTTCTTATATCGTCTACACCCACACCCACATCCTTTATCTATAACAAGGAAAAGCAATATTTCTTTTTGTCCCATGTTGACATGTGCAACTCAATTGAGTTTGGAATGAATAAACAAACGAAAATTAAATATCACTTGCATAACATGACTCATGCTTGAGAGTGTGCGGTGCGGTGCGGGTATGGGTCTCAGTGTAGGTGTTAGTGTTTTTTGTAACTATAACCACAGCCAGCATGCACACTCACACCCACACCCTACGAAAAATGAATCTCTAAGAATTTTTTGTTTTAGTAAATCAACGAGTCTATAGAGTAAAACCATGTATAGTCTAGTCAACAGCTAAAATTGAGCAAGATTGGTGATCCGAGATGCATAAACACAGACTGTTAGATCCAGTTCTTCATGCTGATTACGAATCTGATGTTTATTTTCGCTTTTGAACATTTTATCTATGAGAAAAAATCGAATTACCGTGGAAAAGTGGCTAAAAATTGCATTTTTTTAGTTTTTTCGCCGAGGATCTCATTCCCATAAAAAACCAACTACACATGAAGATAGATCAAACTTGCTGTATCGAATGGTATATGTCACCAATTCCGGGAATTTCAATTTTGTACCAAATTAGTTACCGATTTTTTAACGTATACCATTTTTTCCAGTTCTATGTTTCATGCATAGATTTATGAAAGATAGTACCAAAATAGGTTTTTTGATAGAGCTTTGAATGAGCTACAAGAATCTGTCCTCGGTTTCGAAAAATGAATTAGTATCGCTGAGAAACAACGAAAACATTGAAAAATCGATTTTTTTTGAAAAAACGCTTAAAAAAATACTTTTACGATTTCTCTGTTATTTTTCAGTCAATTTTTTTTATAGCAAAATGATCAGCGTAAAAGTCTCTACAAGCCATCTAAGTTTCATCAAATTCGGAGATGGTCACCGTAACTCGCTGGAGGAGGCTGGGGGAATCACCCACTTGCAATTGTTGTTGTTGTTGTTGTCGTAACTAGAGAAAAAGGAAAGATAGTAATGGTTACCTCTAGATTCTAAAACAAAAAAAAAATTAATTCTCATGAGAAACAACATACCTGCACATGTGGTATATTTCTGGACGCGAAAATTACAGGAATCAGCTACATACAAGTTTTTGTTTGCATCGAATGTAATTCCATTAGGATAATTCAGTGTTGTTGCTGTTGAACCTAAAACTCCACTAGTTCCTGCTATGAGTATTCCAATAGTTGATCCACTAGCCCACATAACGACTCGGTGGTTATTTGTATCCGAAATGTAAAGATTACTGTTTGAATCGCTAATAACTGCTCTCGGGGTATTCAGCTGATTTAGAGCAGATCCATTTGAGTTTCCACCTGCTACCGTTGTACCAGATGTTCCCCCAATAACCCACCGCTGCACTCGGTGATTCGAACTATCAACCACATAAATAATTGATTGATTGTTTGCATCTATGTAGATACCCATCGGTCCATTGAATTGATTCGATGCACTACCAACACCATTGTTACCAGCAACGACAACACCAGTGGAAGATGAGTTGAGCTTTTTCAAAATTCGATTATTCGTAAAATCTGAATAATAGATAGTCCCAGTCGTATCAACATAGACACCGTAACAAAGGTTTATTTGGTTCAAACCTGATCCTTGGCCATTTCCTTCCAAATAGAAGAAAAGTATTTTGATTATGGCTATACAAATATAAAGATTTGACTCAGAGTCAAGATGGACTCAATGTTATTGAAATTTTTATGAGGGTCTGTCGGTCAAACAATCTTAAAAGGAGTAAGAGGTCAGACTCACTGATGTGCTCAAAAAGGAGAAGAGGTTTTCTTCAAGAAATTCTTTCTATTTTCCAACACATACTCGAAATCATAAATAGTATTGTATGATATAAAAATGATACTTGAGAACGCTCCGGTAAACATTTTTCCAGGATGAAATGAACAGCTAATTTCTTCCTTTTGTTTTATGTATATATGCGTTCAGATAAGTACATAGACGCAAAACCCATGAGATAACAATTGACGTGCTTTTTTCGTTTACTCTTGTTCACTAGTATATGATACTAGAACACAACCTACTCCTATCTGTGTATTATATAATTTTTCATTCTTTCATATGAAGTTATTATTATTCCGTCTCCTGTACTCAATTCTATGTCAGCTGATTTGAAAAAGAATAACCTTATTTTAAATGAACAAGACAGAATCGTGTTAGAAGATTGTGTTTCTTTATTTAAGTTATTTAATAAAGCAACTATTTAGACATGAAGAACATGTTATCGAAAACAAACTATAACTCTTTTGTTTATTATTCCTGAGAATAAACATTTGCAGTATTTACAGAAGATGTAGCTGATGAGTCGAGCAAACTTGAACAATGTGTCAACGATAAGCTGATAACACATGCTGACCCGAAAACGAAAAGAATATGCTTTTTTCGTTACTTTGATCGCATGAAACAAATTTATTTTTATGAGAAATTAAATATTTGTGGTAAAGCTTGACGCTTTCTATTCAGAAAAAAATGATAATAGTATACGTTTCTTCGAGAAAAATCTGTATACTTCTCCATATGAATTTGGTCTGATTTAGTTATGTTACTTTAAATTGAAAAACAATTTCAAATAGTAGATGAAGTAAAAGTATAACGCAAAGGTTTAAAATTTTAATTGAAACATTTTAAAACTTCAATTATAAAAAAGTCAAATTTAAAAACAAATGCACTAAGAGTTATAAAAATTACCCATGACCTCTATATAAATCAGAGAACACGATGATCCCTCCTTAGAATAGCCGAGAAAGCTTTTAGTACAATTTGATCGATCGGTAAACACAGTTTTAGTCATTCGAATTTCATCTAAAGAATGCATGATTGAATAGTGTCATTCATGCTGAAGATTGCATGAATTAAATCTGATACATAATTTTATTAGAATATTGATCATTTTAATTCCGAAATTAAATCTAAAGGCCTTTCTATGAAGGCAAGGCAGCAATAATAAAAAGAAGTGCTCTGATAGAGGACCTGCAGGTGAAAGTCACAGGGCGCGTAAAAATTTTCCGTTTATTTCTAGTAGAGTGTGAATGTCAAATCTAATCATAACAAATAGAATGAACTTTGTATCAGTAAATATGGGATGTTCATATAGGAATCTTATTCAAATCCAAAAGAAGAATTTCTTATCGATTCTAACAGTCAGATATTGTCGCCTGGTAGGATCCGAATTGGATTCATTCAGTTGAATTGGCCCAAAGAACTTTTGACAAAACTTTATCGGAAACCATTATTTTTTCACGGTAGACTTCACCTGAAGAAAACGTCAAGATTACCAATTTCTCGCTACTCGGTAATAGTACTTTATCTCCGCTAATAGTAATCGGTCAACCACCTTAAAGTATGACTCAATATTGTGAACTCAATTGTTTCACTCCCAAGTAAGAAAAAAATGAAGGGAGACTGCAGACATGACTAGTCAGAAGAGTCCGCAGCATCCATCAAGTTTACTCTGAAATGCCATTGGGTTCAGTCATGTCTAAGCCGTTTTGTCTGTTGACGGAGTTAAGACTAGTAAGAATATTAAAAAAAGAGATTACATGGTGGATTTGAACATACGCCCCAACAGTGTTCGAAATATGACGGACATCCTGACGGCAGACTAGGACACTGATATAGACTGTCGTAAGTATATATGGCCTAAAATCATAGATTGACTCCCATCCATGCATAGAAAATCAGAAACAAACCGACTTAAATGATATTGACTAGTCTGAAGCATCTTCTGGACACCTCATGGCGAGTCCTATTTTAAGAAGTGTTTATTTTACTCGATGCTTATCGAATTTTTTTCTAGCTAGAAGGGCAATTAGATAGTCTGCTGTAATCAACAATACATTCGGAAAGATTCAATACATTGCGTGCATTCCTGTCTTGATATATTTTATTTTATTTTGCATTAGCATATGCTAAAAGTTTAAGAGGGTATCAAAACATAAAATAGTAGGAGTTATTACTAAAAACAATATTCATCTCGCATCAAGTAGTGGTAATTTATATTTTTTCAAATTTGAGATGTCCTAAATTTAAAAACTCGGGAAGCAGCTAAATCTTTTCATATCATAATAAGATGTTAGTTTATTTTAAATATCAATTCTAATAATTCAAAATTAAGTGAAGATTATCTAATGATTAAATGAATATAAGATGATTTAAATAAAAAAAACTGAACTAAAAAATAAAATGAAAAAATTTAGCCTCTATTCCATACAAATACCTTTTTATTTTTATACTCAAATTAATATTTTTGAAAATCAACTAATTAATCCCAGTTGCTTATAATCGAAATATATTTGTCGAAAAAATTATAAAATTTTCTTAACTTATTTTATTCAATGTTATCTAAAGTAATCGTGTTTCAGTAAAAGATAATTTTTATTGATGTGTAAAATTATACAATTTCGAATAGAAATTGTACTAAATAACATCTTAGAATTATCAAGAGCATGTAGAGTATGATATCTCAATCATATGGCTCAATGGTTCTGGCGATGGGTAAGTGCCACATTGTATGCATGTTCGAATCTAATCTTTATCCCAACATATTTCGATTTAGACTAGTCAAGGCTCGTCCATTATTTAAGGTTACAGCTGGTTCTATAATCATCCTAGACGCCCTAAATTTTTCATTGATAAACCATTTTTGGACTGGCGACAGGAACGCTCGTCACGGCTACTCTTATTAGATTTCATGACTACTCATCCATCAGACTTCTGGGACGCGTATGTATGCCGGTCAAAAACTCGGACTAGTTGTGGACGAGTCAATTTTGAGACAAAGACTAGTCAGAACGGGACGGCACGACTAGAAAAAAGACTGGTCGTCTAACCAGTCTTTTACTCACTTGGGTTTGTTCAAGCTGATATCCTTCTACTTTTAGTAGAAATTAGCTCTTTGGAATATAAAAATAATGATAAAGAAATCAATAATGAATATTGGGAACATCCTACATATACCTTCTTTAAATTGAACTGCTAGGCTACAATTAACGGATATATCTAAGTGTAACTATAAATAAAGAATTCGATAAACATCTGTAGAAATCTTAGGTCTTGTTCAACTGACACTTTGTATCTACGCTTAGGTAATCTCTACACGAAAATGGTTACTCAAACAGCTAACTCAAGAAGAAGGATGATTTTTAGCAAAATATAAATTTGTAAAACAATCAGACTAGTCTGTTCTGAAAAAATTAACAAAACAAACCAAGATAGATTCAATGGTTCCGTGAATAAAAATCGGCCATTGATTTTGATGGAAAATTTCATATTACCTCCAGCAAAAGTAACGCCAGTTGACGTATTGTAGGTAAACTTTTGTATTCGATAGTTGTAAAGATCGGAAACAAACAATGTACTTGAAAGAACAAATATAGCACGAGGGTAATTGAACAAAGTAGCTGCTGAACCTATAGTACTGACAACTCCGGCTACCGTCTGGCCAACAGTTGCATTCAATGCAAATCGTTGAATTCGTTGATTATTTGCATCGGCAACATAAATATTGGAAAATATATCAATTCCGACATCATTCACATAACTAAGCAAAGTTGAATTCGTGCCCAGTACACCTGTCACACCAGCAATCGTTATACCAGTCGAATTCCAGCTGCTACCTGGTGTACATGAGGTGACTAAAGTAGAAAGGTGGAGACAGTATGAGCCAGATAACATTCAAGCTCATTAGCCCTGCCCATATAGAGAAAGAGTAAATATCAACCTTGTGTTATTTGAGATTTTTATTTATCTCTACTGTTACAGTAGTACTGTAACTGAAAATTTTCCTAACTTCACTAAAATGAGAGATTCTTTACTTATCCTGATATATTCGTCAATCCCCACGAATGGTCACACTGATATTTCACGCATTTTAGCAACGCAATTTACAGAATGCATAAGCTCGAATTATAAATGAATTTTTATGTTTGAATCATGATAAAATCCAGCAGATGTTTTCTTCAATTCTCATATATACCATTTTGGTTGCTGTTGTAGCTTCTCTGTTTATTCTTTCGTCTTGAGAGATTGTGCACTCTTCCACCTATGCATCCAGCGTTACTTACTAACAACCCGCTTCTCATATGAAAATCGATGAAACTCATGAAATAATAGATAACGAGTGAGAGATAATCTTTAATTTAACATTTTTTGACTCATATACAGCCTGGGCACGTTAGAACATTCAATCCCTATTGACGCAAGATTATTCTTTGCCATGCTGATTATTCTCTCATGTCACTACTTCTCATGATATATTTATCTGCTAACATTTGTTCATGATGCAGCCTAGTGACGCTATCATCCCATAGCACTATTCTATTCAATATGATCGAAAGATCTCTTAAAATAATAATTTTCAAGTGTCTATGAAATGTCGACAATATTAGTACATCATAGCACAAGTAGAGCTGCTCATTGGTGTCCATTTATCATACATTGCAACTGTCATATATGTTATCCATTATTCATTAAGACCTACAATATTGAGAAGTTGTGATGGAGCACTATCTCAAGTCATTCACCAATGACTGGAGGACATCTGTAATAACATGCTACACAATCTTCACGAGATATCAAGCTATTCTATCGAATGCAAACTCTTGACACAAATAGATACGTCACTCTAAACTCACGCCGGCACAGTTTTTGTAATACACTGAAATTATAACGAAAAATCTGTTCTTTCCTATCGACCGATATTTATGCATAGGTTTCATGAAGTTCGTCTATTTTCATTCCCCTCAAAATCAACGACATTCATTCTGCTTCATCGTGATTCCTATCCAGAGTGAAGCGACATATTTAGAACAACTGGATACCAGCTGTAATTAGCAATGCGCTTGAATTCTAATTGGAAAACGTTTCCCACTCACACTTGTGTGAAAGATATGAATCGAATCCTATAAATAATGTACGGCTGGTAAACACGAAATCGCTCGATCCCTATTATTTACGTAGACCCAAAGCAGTTTTTTGTTCATTTGATGCAACGTTTAATAATAGATTAATTACAATTCTTGGATGCGTGTTATGTGGTGAGGCCTTTTTGTGAAATTACTCAGGATTATGCTCCACTGTAGTTACCGAGTAAGAGGTCTATAGTACTCCACAAGAAGCTCTAGACGAGTCCACAAAATCTGTACCGACGAACAGCAATCGGGCTTGTGAGAATCATCGTATTTTATTTTATTTTATTTCTACAGAAATGATTTCTGTAAAAAGGAAGCTAAAAGATGATCACTAGCATCAGCAATATAAAAAACGATGGTTAATCAAGTGCACTCGGTTTTGATCAATGTGAATAGTGAACTTATACTATAGACAAAAAGAAATGGCTGAAAATTTTGAAAAGTATGAGTAGTTCAACTCAATAATTGATGTATCTATTACAATGACAGTGAATATGGAATTGGCGGAGAGGTGGCGATATCTGAGTGATAGTCTTGTCCCTAATGGCATCCTCAAATAAACAGGATGAACTGTTGCGTCATTTTGGTAATCAAAGTTATCTATTGTTGATCCGAATTTGTGGCACAAGACTAGTCGTACAAATTTTCGACTGAGAGTAAGATTATTTTCGTGGATCGATCGCATGTCAACCAAATAAGTATTAGTTCCGTAATCTGTTTTTATTTGCTCCGTACAAGTAAAAATATACACCTTTTTTTGCAGATGTCTTCGAACGAGTTTCTAAATTTTTATTGATATTTCGTATTCTCTAATACGTGGCTTCTATGCAGTGTAACAATGAAGCAAGACTCATCATGGGATTCACTACTATTTTAAGTCACTTAAACTAGTAACATAACTCTTCAATATTTTTTAGGGACTTCAAATTTTGAGCAAAACATGGAACTTCCTACATATGCCTTTTCCGAATAAGATGCATAATTTCTGAAGGTTTAAAGGATATGCAATAGATTTTTCCAAATTGGTAGAATCATCTTGAATATTCACGGATTCTTTATTAATCACTCGTTTTCTTTTATACACAAATACCCTTTTGCCAGTGTTGTCTCAAGCACTGAATAGCACAAACTACATCCTACCATTTATACTCATGAAAGAAAAATGCAATACCTGTCGTTGTTGCCACAGTTGTCGTAGCTACGGTTGTCGTTGTAGCTACAGTTGTTGTCGTTGGTGCAGTTGTTGTAGCTACAGTCGTTGTTGTTGATACGGTGGTAGCCACTGTTGTTGCTACAGTTGTTGTTGATACTGTGGTACCAACTGTAGTAGCTACAGTTGTCGTTGTTGCTACAGTCGTTGTTGTTGATACGGTGGTACTCACTGTTGTTGCCACAGTTGTCGTTGATACTGTGGTACCAACTGTAGTTGCTACAGTTGTTGTCGTTGGTGCAGTTGTTGTTGATACTGTGGTACCAACGGTTGTTGCTACAGTTGTCGTTGTAGCTACTGTTGCTGTTATTCCTACAGTCGTTGCTCCTACAACAGTTATATAATTTAGCGTTATTATTGTTACTGCAACTAGAAGAATCACATGAAATTATTTTACTGCATTGATAATACTTTCATACCACGAGTAAATAATTTCGGTCTGAATTTGAAAGAAAGAAAAGAGCATTTCATTTCAAAAAGAAACGATGAACTAGGGGATCTTTATAATAACTTACTTGAAACCTGTATTTTGAATTCTGAATTCATATGTGAGTATGGTCTCCCTATAGGTATTTTTTTGTGGATGGAGTGGGGGACTTCGATTAAATGTAATAGGAATTCAGAATTCAACTGAATTCAAGTTAAGTCCCCCAAGTCCACTTTGCCCGTGCATCCAAAACATCCCTCTGAGTGTGTGCAAGTTCCTTTGGTACACGAACACCCACACCCTCAAGAGCATGTTGGACTCTTTACGTTGGCATCTGTGTGGATTTTTCAATAGAGACAGCTGCACTTTAGCTTGCTGACAAGGAAATCGCTTATTTTCAGTGTATTGTTCCGTTTCTGTTTACTGATAATTACAAGCTTACTTAAAATAACCGCTGAGAATCTAAGAGGAAAGAAACTATTAAAGTTCGTCTAACATTTCTATTTTTTTCTCTGGATTCGACAGTAAATTTGTCCTATGACTTTCCTGTAGGGTCGCTGCATAAAAAACATCAAAATAAAGAGAAATTCTATATAATATATCTCGAGCATAACGAAGCATATCATCAAGCAGTGAAAGTTTTATTCCCTAAGAACCAGCTTCTGCTTTTTCGCTGGTGATAATGATAATTTACAAAGTAAAAATTTAGGTCACACGAAGTCAAGAGAAGGATCAGTATGTGTCCTTAGTTCTCTTTCGATTTCAGTTGATCACGTACGCTAAAACTTCATTATTTCGAGTCTCAATGGTAGAAAAAATGCTCGAATCACACCAATTGTGCAATATTTGCACGTAATAAAGAAAAAATATCTATCAACGATTCGACATGGAGATCGAGATTCGACATAAATCACATTAGTAAAGCTACCCGAACAGTACAAGATGCATGCTTCAACTCTTTGTTCAGTTGCTTATAGGTTGTTTCCTTTTTTCATCTTGTAGATGATATGGTCATACCAAAAACCATTATTTCATAACTTCAGTGTGAATACAAAACCCACATGAAACATTCGTGTCAACCAACTTCGTGTTGAACGTAAATCATGTACTGCTTCCATGCTGAAAAAACTATAATTTTCTATCAAAAGAATTTTAAAATTCACCTTCTACTTGCTCTCGTATTTTTTTGATATAAGTTAGCAAGAACATTCGAAAACTCACATATTTCCTTCAAACTTTCAGTCGCAAAAAACCAAGCCTAATCCCTGAAATCGTATGATTTTGCCGAACACTTTCCCAAAAAAGGTCAATTTTGTCTGAATCTCGGAAATATGATCCATTTTCATAGCTCTTTCTATATTTTTGAGATCACCGGTCGATAGAGCTTGCAGAGCTACCCTTGTGCTGTGAATTTCATGTTGCTCTTGAGCTGGGTTCATAAAGAGCTAGTGGGACGAAAATGCGTGCATTGAAAACAAGATCCTTTCCTGCTCAGGTATGGCCATTCACTATGGAACGATCGATTTTTTCGGCGTAAAAAAGTTCAAATTGGTAAAGTACTCCACATTTAGAGCAAGAGAAAATATTTTCAAGTAAATCTGAAGGTAAATTTATTGTATGAGAGCCCAAAAATGAAAATTCCGTTTATAGTGGAGTGAGACCGATTACACTAATAAAAGAGTTTGAAGAGCTCTTAGTTCGATATTCGTAATCAGCATCATTGAATCTACAAGGGTATCTGCTTTTAGTTTGTGAAAAATGAAATAATTTTTTCGATGACACCCAAAACCATGGATAGGGATCATAGCTTGCGTGAAAAGGTTTTCGGACCATATCAAGCCCTATTTTATTCGTTCATACATAGAAAGATGCAGTTTTTCACGAGCTATCTCCTACTACTAATTTAATTTTCGGAGCGCATTACTCTAATATAGTTCAAAGGGAAAAAACATGAGAATGTTTTTCGATTTTTTCGCTAAAAAAATGTGCATTACTCGGTATTTTGTTTTCGATTCTTGTTCTGTGACCATGTATTTGATAGAGAAAATCAAGCTCTATTAAATGATACCAAAATAGTGGACCTTTAATACAGAAATAGATTGTACAAAAGGGGAAAACTGAACACACCCACAATCATCAAAATTTTTGACATCATATAGGAGGATGTGCTCAAAGATTCACTTATATCTCGTGATTGGCGTTGTGGAAACAGTTAAAAATTTGGATTCTAGAATAACTTTTCACGGGCTATCGAATGTAATAACTCATTTCAAAAACTAAAACTTACCATATGCTGGTCCGTTGGTGAATTGGTCGGTTTTCTCGTGAACCGTCTCGTAAGAACAAAATAACTAGGATGCCAGATGGCCCATTTTTAGCCAGTGTTCACTTCATAACTTCATTAAACTTGCATATTTCGGGCTGAAATTTTTATTGTAGACTACCCGCGCCAGGTTCAACATATCCTGAGAATTTCAGCCGATTTGAGCGTTCTTTGGCGAAAATCGACCGTTGATTGGGGAGGGGGGGAGGGGCTGAAGGGATAACATGGCTATATTTCTTCTTGAATCCTTAAAATTAATAAGTCTGAATAATGAGTTATCGAACTGTTGCGTCGGATACGCAAAATAGGTATCTGATTTCCAGGGGAGGACGTGGTGTATCCCCTCTCCCTCAGTATTCAGAAATTTAAAAATATTCTACTTAAATCAGAAGACGAAAAATAAATACAAAGTATGAATGCATGATTAAAATTTTCTTTTTTGAACACGCTAACTTGAAACATTACTGCACAGACACACCTCCAAAAGCTCAAACGATCGCGCCACCCTGCTGATTTCTACTTCTACTGTCGATAAAGTTCTACTAGTCAATATATTACCTGTTGTTGCATTTGTTGCCGATGAAACATTGAGTGGACTAAGAATGAGTGCTGTTGGAATTATCGCTGCACAGACTACGGCAATCGCTAGCAAACTTGTGAGTCCACCTTTGGTCCAAAACAATTTTTTGCTGCTGAAAAACGTGAAATTTCAGTAATAATATCATGAGATTCCAAGAGATGCCTACATTTTCGAGGAGTTTTCTCTGATATTCGCGACATGTTTCAAGTCAGTGTGAATATCATTCGGTGTTTGATTACTGGTGGAATTGGGCGCACCTGAAGTAAGCGAATCTATTGGTATCTCTGCTGCTTGCATTTCTCATGTGAAATAATAAATGAAAACAATAGTCAACTACTATTACGAGATGATTTCATTCCTACTCAATCCATTATGTAAAAGGCAGAAAATCAAACACTATGTTTTTTTTCTTTCTCTGAAACAAGCAGTTTTAGACACATTCTCTGTTTCTATTCTTATGTAAACTCGCATGCTATACAATAGACTCATCAAAGGCAAAAATGGTTTCAAGGTTAAAAGCATTCAAGTGTTTCGAAAATATTCACAAAAAAATCATTATTTTGCTTATTCTCTGCTGCTATTATGAAATGTTCCTTGTGACTGTGAATTACATAACGTATATTTTAATGTATTTTGAAACTGTACATGACAATGTACACTTTTCATGTCTGTACTAGTATGAACACCATGTAACTTTCGTTTTGGCTTTGGAAATTAGAATAAAGGGCATTAATATCAACGTCTCGCTCTTCTACCCGTCTTTTCACACACAACCACACAACCACACCACCACACATACATAAACCCTATGAATAGGGATGTGCAGTTTCAGCGTAAATACTGAAATATTGACACTGACAGCACCGATACACTGAGCACTGAGAATTGATTACACTGCTACTCACTGAGGCACAGGCTTTCACTGACCACCGACTACACTGATATCGGTGTTCAGTGAAACACTGACACATCGATTTTGTCAGAATAAGCATATTTTATGGTTTTATTTCTAGTTCTCAGCAAAAAATAGTAGAGTGAGTCTGTCGGTATTGCTTAAAACTATCTTCAGTTTTGTGTATATATTGTTCGGTAGAAAGAGGCGATTTCCCTTAGCCACTTCATAGCTGGTTCTACTCTTAAGACAAAAATAACATTTTTAATTCTGAGTCTTTTTATTAGTAGCCGTTATCTTCTGTCATTGTCGCACATTGTATATAAATACTTTTGAAGAACCGTTCAAAAGAAATACAAATGTACTGGTTAGTAAGAGAATGATAATGTTTCAAATTGAATTTCGTGATTTCATTTTAGGATCTACTGAAAATTCACATTCCATCTTGCAGTTAGGATCGAAGCTAATATGCAAATTTGTCAATTTGTATCGTCAATACATGCCTCTTTCAAATCAGTCTAAAGAAGATAAGAGTTTGTCCAAACTTATTAAAATCTGTGAAATAGTTTTCAAAATTGCAACAGTATAAGGTTTTACAATCCACATAACCCATATATCATTGTAAAGGATGTGGGTGCATGGATGAGCGTCGGTAAAGAAGCTTATCACTCCCACACCCGTCGATAGCAGAAAGAAATAAGCAATTAGCTACTTTAGTTTCTCTTCTCTTAAAATAACTGCGCAACATTATTTATCGAAAGCGAAGATGGATAAGACGATGCTGACGATTATAAATTTCACTTTTTCGTTGAATCAGTACAAGTTAAATGGAGCGAGTGAATTTATAAGTGATGCGATCAGAAGTAGACAGCGTAAGACATAAAACAATAAAGGATAGAAAAGATTTACGACAGTATGACGTCTGTTTGATCGAGATAGAAAAAAGAAAGCACCCTTATTAACCAAAGAAGCCTCACCTTGAATAAAGTCAGACATAGGCAAAAAGAGAAATGATCACTTTGAAATGCATTTTCCAATTGAAATTTTATGTGGATTCATATTTTCAAATCGGGAGATGCCATTATATTCGGTATATAAAATGTAGTTAATTGAAATCAGCATAGGAGTATCAGTGTTTCACTGAACACTGATATCAATGTAGTCGGTGGTCAGTGAAGACCTGTGCCTCAGTGAGTAGCAGTGCATCAGTATTTAAACTGAAACTACACATCCCTACCTATGAATTTGTTGAAAATATTTCTGAAATTAATTTGAATGATATTAATAGATTAATACGTCCAAATATTTGAGATTTAAGTTAATAAACACCGATGTTAAATAAATACTATTGTTCTGTCTACAAAATGGTTATNTTCAACGCAAACTTTTAGAAGAAAGCGCTCTTTTGACATTTGAAAGCATTGCTTTCTCTCTCTCTCTCTCTCTAATGCATCGAAAAGCATGTTTTTGTGTATGTAACGCGTTGAAATTCATTTTCTTTTTAGTTATAACAGAATTTTTCCACTTAAAATGCGACTTTAAAACATCGGTCGAAAGCGTTTGCTCTGCTTTTCAATGATTTTATTATTATCAACGATTTCTTTCTTGAAAGAAACTTTCTCTTGCACACACTCTAGAATATCTATTTTCGTGTATTCTTTTAACAATACAATGTTTACGTAAACCCGGAGTGCTCTTTCTCATCCTCCTGACAACTAAAATATTTAAAATTAATTAATAATTAAAATTTTTCGTCAGTATTTCATCAAATGAAAATGTAATTTAATGGGCCACCAATTACTTACTATATTGGAAATCAGAAATTTGAAACATGTGAAAACAGTAGAATTTATCTGGTCGTATTTTTAAAAAGTCAACACTCGTGATTTTAATTTTATTTGCGTTTCAATTGATGTGAAATTTAAGTTAAAATAATTTAATAGGAAAATGAGGGTGTGGGTGTATTATCATGTAACAATGATTTATTCAGTCACACCCACACCCTCAAGATTTAGCTTCATATCTGGCGACGTCCTTTGAAGGTTAAATACTTTCGAAAAGTTGTTAAATGTGTAATTTAATTTCTATTGAAAATGAGACTAGAAAAACGATTAGATAGAAAAATTGTTATGCTTGCATTTTAGTTTTTAATTTCTTGAATATCAGACCAAGAGAAAACTTCTGATTTTAAGGGCAAAGTACTCTTTCATGATCAATCATTTAAACATTATGTAACAGATATATGAGAAGGAATCGTTAGATATATATGGATGAATTGCAAAATTATTGTACCGTTGGATTCTTATATGTAAAAGCTTAACATCTTCAGGTCTTCTCGGTCAATCTTCATGATTTTTTCAGAGTAGGATCATCTAGTAAGTCCTAACTATCACACAAAAAATCGCGATTTCATCTCGGATACGTCTTGAGATATTAGTAGAACAAGGGTAAATAGTCTGAATTTGACCGCCACCCATTGTAAGAAAATGTCATATAACCGATTGGTTCTCCTTACATTTGAACTTCAAGAGGGGTCTACGAAAATTGCTCGAATGAAAATTGGTCGAACGAAAATTGATCGCGGTTAATTGGTCGATGCGAAAATTGGTCGATACGAAAATTGGTTGATACAAAAATTCGTAGAGATAAAAAACAATTAGAGCTTAATTTAAAAAAAGGATCTTCTAAGTAAAACTTGCAATTAATACTAATAAGTTAAACGATAAAAAAAAGAATTTTCAGATCATCATAGAGAAATTACTCATCAAAAAGAGCACATATTTGTCTGAAATATGGGAATTGTTATATGCTTAGATTGCTTCAAATAAGCTTATCATTTGTTTTGATAACATCTATCACAATAAGCTAGAGTTCACTTGATCCAATAATGATTAGATTAAAAGACTCTAATACATTATATAAAAGCTGATATATGTAAACGGAACACTACTATTTTTCATAAATGTCAACATTTACATTCAGTACAACAGAAAAGAACAAACCTTTATTAATTTGTAAAGGTTTTGCTTATACTATCGATAAAACAACTAATGATAAAACTTATTGGAAATGTGAACATGTTCGAAAATTTAAATGTAAAGGACGAATTCACACTAACTGTACTCATACAACATTATTACATGAAAACGATAATCATAATCATCCTGGTAATCCCGTTTCAACTGAAATTGGAATATTTGAAGAAAAAATTCGTCATCAAGCACCTAATTCAAACGAAGCTACACAAAACTTTATTGATTATTGTCTCACGAATTTAGCTGATCATGCTGTAGCTCGTCTTCCTGATTTTAAACATGTCAAACGAAATATTCAAAATCACCCAGTAAAAAAAGATTTGCCCGAAATTCCACATGATAAAACATTTAATGTAATTCCGGACAAATTAACAACAACAAAACGAAACAGCTTGTTTTCTACAATTTGATGCTGGTCCAGGCAATGATCGTATTATTATATTTGGATCAGCTGAACAACTTCAACTTCTTGAAAGTGGCGAACAATTATAAGTCGATGAAACCTTCAAGGTCTGTACATTTTTCCCGATGCTATTTAGTTTTATTTAATAAATTAAACTCTTTAGGCAACACCATCGATTTTTTATCAATTATACGCTATGCACGTGGTTTATCGAAATGCTGTTTTACCTGTCGTATTCGCATTATTACCAAACAAAACTCAACAAACTCATCGTCGCCTTATTGATAAATTATCAGAAATTTGTCCATTATGGAGTCCAAAATTTATAATGATGGACTTCGAACTTGCATCAATAAATGAATTCGGTGATAAATTTGTAACAACAACAAATCCATCAATAATATCCGGTTGTTTTTTCATCTACAAAATAGTATTCAACGTAAACTGCAAGTCAGTAATTGAAATTTGTTGATATATAAAAGAATGAAACTAATTTTCGTTTTCTTCAGGACTTAGGCTTCAAAACGAATTATGAACAAGATCCAGTATTTTCTCATCATGTTAATCAAATTGC